AGCTGGCTAGAATTCAAGCTTTCTGATTTTGCTAAGCTATTTACCACTTCCCTCTCTGTTCTCCAGCTCCTGAAGTTTTGTTGCTATTATCTCCTCTTCCTTGTTCTTTGTCCTGGTGGGTTTATGACTTCTGTGAATCTTTCCCACCACCTCCTTCTGCCCTGCCCTGCCCATTTTGTGTGTTTTCTGGAGGAGGCAATATTAATGAATTTATTCAGTACTCCATTTCTGATGCTTGTTTCCCAGAGCCTATCAGCTTTCAGTCATGCAGCTTTTATCGTTATAACTTATCTATGTTCTATCCTCTCAGTCCTATTTCTTTTGGCACCATCCTAACTCAGACCTTCAGAACCTCCCTGGTAAACAGGATCTTCATCCTAAGATTTTTAGCTTTTAAATCCATTTGGGATAACACTGCCAGGCTAAGCTTCACAAAGCACAGTGCTGTGTAGACCATCCCCTTGTTTAAAAACCTTTACACTTGCTACTAATTAACATGCAATATAAATGGTTCACTCTTGTGTTTAAGGTCTGGCTTTACATTCCTTGAGCCTTTTCTAACCTTGAGGCTTATCTGTAAGTTCCTTACACTGCAGCACAATGAAATTCTCTTTTCCATCATCCCTAGTTACATCCTTGCCTTCTCACCTCCACACTTTCGTTGATTCTGTTTTTACCTCTTGCAATGTCCAACCAACTCCTTCAGCCCTTTTATAATACTGTCTCTGCCACTGCCTCTGTGATCTTGGGTTCCTTAAGCCTCAGCTCCCTCTCCTACAAAATAAAGACAATAATACCTACACTTCATGGTGCTTTTATGAAGATTAAATTGGATGGTGCCATTAAGCACCATGCCCGATGCACAGTAAAAGCTTTACCTATTCTTCTGCTTCTTTGGCTGCTGGTTCTTATGACTGCTCATCTACCTGGCAGGGAGTGTGTCCCCTGGAGTAAGCAGCACTGCTCCCTTCCCACAGTTTATGCTGAATTAATAATTGCTGAGCTGGAACAAATCAGACCATCCTATCACCTGGCCAATCAAGACATCACTTCCAACAGGGGTCAGCAAACTTCTGTTAAGGGACCAGATGGTATTCTGGCTTTGTAGACCTCTTTTACAACTTCTCAACTCAGCGGTAGTTTGGTGTAGTATGAAAGAAGCCACAGATAATACTTAAATAAATAGATTTGACTGTGTTCCAATAAAATTTCATTTACAGAATCAGAATTAGCGCACCTTAGTTTACTGAGTCCTGACTTAGAGCAGCAAATATGAAGCAGCAACACTTAAAAACTGTAGCTTCCACCTACTAGTTAATATATTTCTTTAGATACTCTAGTTTCTTTTTGCAATCTGTGATGGGTTAATGCTACATGTCAACTTGGCTAGGCCATGGTACCCAGCTATTTAGTCTGAAGCAAGGTTCACCAGGAGGATGGATACCCTCTGAATCAGTATCCAACATATGGTGTGGTTTCTCCCATTACCAGGATTCATAGGTCTTAGAATCAAGGAGTGGAAGTGGGAGTGGCACCACTCACTGTTACACCTACTGATCCATCAGCAACATTTTTCTTCCTGTTCCTGTAACTTTATGTTATATTGGGCTAGATGGCTTAGTTCCAAAGGGAGGAATGATTCCAGCAACAGAGGCAAAAATAAGTCCGTCGAACTGAAAATTAAGGTGCCACCTGGCCACTTTGGTCTCCTTAGGCCTCTGTATCAGCAGGCAGAAAGGGAGTTATTGTGCCAGCTGGGGTGACTGATCCTGGCTACCAAGGGCAAATTGTACTGTCACCCACAACGGAGGGAAGGAAGAATTTCTGGAACACCAGAAACACCTTACGTGGCCTCTTGGTATTGCCACACCCTGTGATTAAAAAGTCAACAGAAGGCGACAACCCAATTCAGGCAGGGCTAACGTCTCAGATCCTTCAGGAATGAAGGTGTGGGTCACCTTATCAGGTAGAGAAAGAACCACGATCAGGTGAGGTGCTTGCTGAGGGCAAAGGGAATATGGGTTGAGTAGCAGAAGGCAGCAGGTTACATATATCAGCTATGACCATGTGACAAGTTACAGAAAAAAGCACTGTAAATTGTCATGAGTATTTCTTCCTTACCTTTCCATGGATGTGTGTGTGTGTGTGTCTGTGTGTGTGCACACGTGCACGTGCATGCCATTCTTTGTTTTCTTCCTGTTGTCCTCAATATGTCATAAGACGTAGTGACTTTATATCACAGTATTTAAATACTGTTAATTTAACATCACAGTATTTATATTAAAGCATATCAAGGAGATGCCAGAGAAGTCCAGTGCCCCAGGACTTTGTACCCTCTTCTGGGAAAAGGGCTAGTGTTTGTAGCATGTCACATGAACATACAACTTTGCTACTGCCTTTTTCTGGAGATGAGGTATGGTTAAAGGCAATGCATATGAGTGCCAAGTTGACAAGGGGTAGATTTATGATAGTTAATTTTAAGTGTCATCTTGGCTAGGCCAAAGTATCCAAATATTAGGTCAAACATTATTCTAGATGTTTCTGTGAATTTTTTAGATGAGATTAACACTGAAATCAGTAGACTTTGAGTAAATCAGATGACCCTCCATAATAGAGGTGGGCCTCATCCAGTCAGGTGAAGGTCTTAATCGGAAAATGTCTGAATTCCCCTCCCATACCCCACCAACCTAAGGGGGATTTCTGGCCTGCAGACTCCAACTGCAACTCCTCCCTGGATCTCTTGCCTGCCAGCCTGCACTGAAGATTCTGGACTTGCATCTCCGCAATCTCATGAGCCAATCCCTTAAAAAAAGTCTCAATCTCTCACCCAGTCTCAGTCTCTCTCTCTCTCTCTCTCCATACATACAGAAAATCGAAATCTAAACTGGTTCTATTTCTCTGGAGAACCCCAATATACAATATTTTCTGAAATCTGCATTTGTATTTTGCACTCCCTGATAATAGAAACCTTTATTACTAAAGATATCCTTAGTAAAAGAAACAATCACTGACTTTTCCCCACAGATTAAAAGAAGTCTTCAAGTCTTCTGTAAAAAGTGTTCTAGCAAAAAGCAACAGAGCATAGAATTAGCTCTGGCAAAGTGACTTTCAGCATTCGTGACCACTTTTCTTGAAAATATTCAGTTCTGGGTTATGTTAATTACAGGTGCTGCAGTCTCACTTTAGGATGAGGAAGACTCGTTTTAAGGCCTAGATATTTGAAACCACTAACACTGAAAGAAATTCTAAGTATGTGGTATCCATGTAATGTGTTTTCAGTTCAGTTTGGCAAGGTCTTTAGATAAGATCTCAAACCACAGGGTCTAAACTTAGCTTTCTTTGCAGTCTGCCAAACTGCAGCACAAAGGACACAGCTGGTGACTGAGAAAAGCTGGTATAGAAAGAAATGCAATTATTGTGACTTTTGTGGGTTTATCCGTCATGTTATAACCAACAGAATTGGCTGGTAGAGACAAATTCAACTTAGAGAAACCCAAGACCACATCAACCATCACACGTGGAGCAACTTCCCAGCTAGCCTTCCCATGGCAGCTCGCTCAAAGGGCACAGCTATGGTTCAATGAACTGTGCCACATTTCCACTGAAAACAGCAATAAATGGGAGGGATTCATCTATTGCTTTCTTTTTTGAGATGGAGTCTTGCTCTGTCGCCAGGCTGGAGACCAGCGGCACGATCTTGGCTCATTGCAACCTCCACCTCCTGGACTCATGCCACTGAATCTGTCTCAGCCTCCTGAGTAGCTGGGATTATAGGTGCATGCCACCATGCCCAGCTAATTTTTGTATTTTTAGTAGAGACAGGGTTTCACCACGTTGGCCAGGATGGTTTTGATCTCTTGACCTTCTGATCCACACCTAGGACTCCCAAAGTGCTGGGAGCCACCATGCCCCGCAGGATTAATCTAGTTCTAACTGATAAAAAATTGTGCTCTATGAGATAATGCCACAGATTTAGCTTGGCTGGGCTCTAGATCTTCTATAGAGATCTGGCTTCTTGGGCAAAGGTGAAGAAAACTGTTTCACACTCCCCACCCACCTCACCCCAGCCCTGGACAAACTAACCCCATGCCCTTCACACAAACAGTCTTTAGCGCTGTGTCAGGGCTCTGCCCTGAACCCTCTGCAGCCCTCTACTTCCTATTTGATTAAGTCTTGGGCAGTCTTCCTTGATAACATGGTCTAACTTCTCCCTTCATTTCCAAGACCCTCTTTGACTGCCTGGGCCTCTGTGCAATGTGTCCCCTCTGAGTACTTCCTCTTTGAATGTCTCTATTGCACATATTGCAGTTATTGTTAGCAATGACAACAGCAGCAATAACCACAGTCACCATTTATCAAGCATGTAATAAGAACCAGCCTCTGTTTCAAGTGCCTGACATGTGGCAAAATTCCTAAAACCGTCATATGACCCACATACTAACATTTGCCTGGAAGAACTAAGGTTAGAAAGTAACCTGCCCACGGTCACAGCTATTAGTAGGATGTAGAAGCATGTTTAAAATCCAGGTCTATCTGATTCTATCTGCTCCCCATCCTGGCTCCTCAATTTGAATGCATGCAACTTGAGAGCTGGGTCCCTGCCTAACTTTGCTCTGTGTCTTCAGTGCTGGGCTGAACCCTCAGGTAGTGTTTGCTGGTGATCACGTAAAGGGATTTAAGTTTAGCAGGTGAAAAGCAGGGAGAGAGGCCAAGGGAGGAGGCTTGGTTCTAATTGTGTATAAAATGCTAACTGGGGGATTACAGCCCATTAACCATAAACCTGAAATACTATATAAGAATGACTCAATGTGTACAAACACATCATGTAATGATTCAGACACTGCACACTACATACAACAAAATTGGCATCAGAAAAACTTAATGCCAAAAAATATACACATATGCACAGATAATCAGACACAGATGAACATCTCAAGTTGATAGACTTCTAATGATTAGTTGTGAATAAAGTGAGACCGTATCTTTTTTATATTACATACCTTCTGGGATGCATTGTCCAAGAACAAATTTATACCCTTTGCAGCACTTTTTCCTAAGAGACAAACAAACAAACATTTAAAATAGAGTATTAGGTTAAAAATAAAATTCTTTTCAATTATTGTTTTTTGAATGAAATAACTTGTGCCCAGGAAACACTGAGGCCTAAAGCAAATTAGGTGTGGAATTTTTTTAAGGTAATCTGAGATTAAAAGAAAAATATCAATCACACATGACTATATCTTCTAATACTGGGATATTCTTTCTGTCACGTAATATGTGAAATCAACATTTTGAATCCTATGAAATAAAGTAATTAACTCAGACTTCAAAGTACCTTAAATTAAGCAATTAAAGGACCGTAAAATATTAATAGGAAAAGAACCTTTAAGGGTTGACCAGGCCTCTCATTCTACAGGCCAGAGAGATACAAATTGTTTATAACAAGTAACTAATCATAATAACAATACTTGGCTAATTATAACATAATGATTGCTAACTGTAACATAACAGTGATTAGGCAGCCAACTATTATTAAGACTGAGACTGGAGCCTAAGCATTCTGATTCTCATTTGAGTGATTTTTTTTTTTTTTTGTAAACACTTGTACCATGTAAGAAACTGAAAGGTACCTAAATGATCTGAATAGAAAATATAGCAAACAGCTCATTCCTAACATAAATATTTCAAACCTACTCCACTCTAACCAAGTTAATTTAACCAAGTTAGCTACCTGCTAGAAGAAAAAAATCCACACTCTCTGAATGAATACAGCAAGATGCAGGCTGTCCACAACATAACATATACAAATGTGACCCATTCTCAAGGAGAGGACAATCAATGCTGACAATCTCTAAGATAACCCACATGTTGGAATTATCAGACTTTAAGGTAGCTATTTAACTGTGTCCAATTACATAAAGGAAAATATACCTGTAATAAACGAAACAGAAAATCTCAGCAGAGGAACTACTAAAAGAACAAAACAGAACTTATAGAACTGACAAACAGACCTGAAATTTTTAAACATCCTTCTGGATGTGCTGATAGAAGAATGGAGAAATGATGCAGGAAAGAATTTGTGAATTTGAAAATACAGTAAATGGAAATTATCTAATCTGAAGGAAAGAGAAAGAAAGACTTTAAAAAATGAACAGAGATTTCTGGGCTAATATCAGAGGTCTAAGGTCTGGTACTTGGAGTTCCAGAGGGAGAGGAGACAGTAAATGGAGCAGAAAAATATATTTGAAAAAACAATGGCTGAAAACTTCCAAAGTTTAGTGAAAGAAATAAATTTAAAGATTAAATAAGTTGACCGGGCGCGGTGGCTCAAGCCTGTAATCCCAGCACTTTGGGAGGCCGAGGCGGGTGGATCACGAGGTCAAGAGATCGAGACCATCCCGCTCAACATAGTGAAACCCTGTCTCTACCAAAAATACAAAAAATTAGCTGGGCATGGTGGCACGTGCCTGTAATCCCAGCTACTCAGGAGGCTGAGGCAGGAGAATTGCCTGGACCCAGGAGGCGGAGGTTGCGGTGAGCCGAGATCGCGCCATTGCACTCCAGCCTGGGTAACGAGAGCGAAACTCTGTCTCAAAAAAAAAAAAAAAAAAAAAAAAGATTAAATAAGTTTGGCAAACCCCAAACAGGTTAACTACACACATACACAAAATGCCCAGAGATGTCATAGTCATGTTGCTGAGACCTAAAGAGAAACTCCTAGAAGCAGAGAAAAATTAAACATTATATACAGGGAAAGGATGATTTTAATTACCACAAACCTCTCATCAGAAAACTACAGTAACCAGAAGACAGTGATATGACATTTTTTGAGTGCTGAGAAAACAATCTTGTTCAACCCAGAATATCCAATGAAAATATCCTTCAAGAAGGAGGGTGAAATAAAGACATTTCAGATTTAAAAAAATAAAAAATTCATTGTCAGCAGACCTGTGCTAAGGGAGTTCTCTAGGCTAACAGGAGATGACACTAGAGGGAAATCTACATCTTTAGGAAGGAGTGAAGAGCACTATAAACAGTAACTATCTGAGTACACATACAGAAAATTTTTTTAAGTTCTGGGATACGTGTGCAGAACATGCAGATTTGTTACATAGGTATACATGTGCCATGGTGGTTTGCTGTACCAGTCAACCTTTCATGTGGATTTTAGGCCCCGTATGCATAGGTATGTTCCCTAATGCTCTCCCTCCCTTAGCCCCCCATCCTCCAATAAGCCCCGGTGTGTGACATTCTCCTCCCTGGTCCATGTGTTCTAATTGTACGACTCCCACTTATGAGTGAGAACATGCAGTGTTTGGTTTTCTGTTCCTGTATTAGTTTGTTGAGAATGGTTTCCAGCTTCGTCCATGTCCTCGAAAAGGACATGGACATGAACTCATTCTTTTTTACGGCTGCATAGCATTCCATGGTGTATGCCAGTTAGAATGGCGATTATTAAAAAGTCAGGAAACAACGGATGCTGGAGAGGATGTGAAGAAATAGGAACACTTTTACACTGTTGTTGAGAATGTGAAATAGTTCAACCCTTGTGGAAGACAGTGTGGTGATCCCTTAAGGATCTAGAACCAGAAACACCGTTTGACCCAGCAATCCCATTACTGGGTATATACACTAAGGATTGTAAATCATTCTACTATAAAGACACGTGAACACATATGTTTATTACTGCAAAGACTTGCTCTTAATTTCTTAAAGCAAAAATAACATACATTGTCTTGCAAGGTTTATAATGCATGTAGTTGCAATAAATATGACAATGTAGGAAAAAATGGCAGATGGATAAATGGACCTACATGGTTACAAAGTCTCTACATTTTATGTAAAATAGCACAATGTTGGCATTTCTGCTGGACCTAATGTCCCTTTGTCCCTCCTTTGTCTCCTGCTCCCATTACTCTCCCCTTTCCTTGCCTTCACCACTTCCATCATCATACATGCGAGGCTGAGAATTAACCATGGCACAGTGGATATGCAAATCTCAAGAATATACTTCAAGATATTTTGACCATAAAGGTTAAATTACCATTTTTAAGAAGTATTTCTTTGTAACTATTAAAAAAAAACAAGATTCAAGGTTATTCCCACCACAACATCATTCTCACTCATGTGTGTTTGGGCATGCTTTCTAGGAAGAGAAACTGAGTTAGACATGGTCTATCAGCTGGGAACTGCCCATCACCTACACCCACCATATCACCTGTGTGAACACATCGTGGTGGAGAAAGGAACAGAAACCTCTTACTTGGGAAATTAGACATTATCTGTGTCTCAAAACAAATTCCACCTTGTCAAATCATCAGAACTTTCATACAGGTTAGATAAGGTCTTCCAAGAATTTTGACACACTTAATTTTTTTTATCACATTTTAATAAAAAAAAATTTAAGAATATTATTTTCCACACTTTCAAATTAATATAATCTGACTATATAACCGATTTGAGTATTCCTCATCTGAAATGCTTGGGACCAGAAGCATTCAGATTTCAGATTAATTTGAAGTTTGGTGATTTGCAGAATACCAGTTGAGCATTCCCAGTTCAAAAATCTGAAATCTGACACGTTCCAGTGAGCATTTCTTTTGAAACTGTTTCGAAATCTTGGATTAGGGATGCTCAACCTGTATTGGTCAAATCAATTTACTACACTACAATTGGGTCTGTCAGGTGAATTACTATTCCTAGGAGAAAATTAAGTCATCTCTTCCTTTAACAAAATTTATAAAAATTTTATGAAATCCATAATTTATTAGTTTTACATGAAATTTATGAAAAATCCATACAATTGTTAAAAGACAAATTTGATGACAGAAATTCTGAAGCATCACTGGGTACAGCAATGCCAATGCATCCCTCTCCAACATTTCTCACATGCAGTCCAGTGGTGACAGGTATCTTACTTCAAAAGCATATAAACTTTGCTTTCAATATAAAAACAGTGGCATTTGGGATGCTATCAAAACAGACTTGAGTGATATTGCCAAGGGCCCCCTGCCTGTACTGGAATTCCCAACACAGATTAATTTGACATTTTATGTTAGAAGGAAATCATCTATCCACGCAATTTGCCAATATGAATGATGTGTGGCAATGTCCAGATGTTCTTATTAGACCTAATTTCCCAACATCTTAAACTAAATTACAATTTTGCATACCAAGAGAAGCCCCTGAAGATATGAGTTTATGATGAGGTACCAGAAGTACAGGGTCTATCTTTACATTCCATGAAACTTAAACTCTGTCTAGCTTTCCATGGTTTAAAAAGTCCAAGCTCCTAACAACCAGAAGGAAAACTGGCTTCAGTATTCATTAAAATTTATGGTTATTACTTACTCCATTACTTGAGGCTGTCCTACAGAAAAATATAGAGGAGGAACAGTGTACTAGATGATTTGAAACTCCAGTGATTCATGAGAAAGTTGGATACAAGGGGGAAAAAACCCACCTGTTTTTGATACGCAAATCGAATATCACATTTCAACATATGGTTTTATTTGTCTGTTTCTATTTTAATGCTGCATCTAAGCTATAACCTCTGAGCAGTTTGACAGCATTTTAAAGTTCATGCAAATCAATATGATCCCTTACAATCTCTCTTTCCACATCCAAGACATTAAACTTGGGCACTGTGACCTTTATGAGCATTTGAAGGGCTTCGGACTGTCTACACAGTGGAGTGAGAAGCAACATGTCATTTGCCTTTTCATGAAGTCAAATGATAATGAAGCGATTTAATATGCTTTCAAAAGGCTATGGAACTCCATCAGGAGATCCGAGTTTCAGGATGAGCATGCATCATTTAAATACTTGCTTAGCTAAAAATTAATTTCCCCTTTGGGTTTTTCGATTGCATGAGTGACCCCAGCTCTCTGCTCAAGGGAAGGAGTTGTGAGACTCCAGTGCATCCTTCTGTCTTCCCTAGAGTTCCTGGGAATATGTTATTTTGCATGTCAAACATCCATCAATCATAAATCACATTTAAAATAAATAATGAAATATTGGGGAGTATTAAAAATAAACAGTGGTTGCACATAT